TCTAGAACGCAGCTTTGGGACAAAGCCGGACAACAATGTGCCAGCCTGTTATTAAGTTACACCAGAGGACGTTACTCTCGGGTGACTGAGGAAGCCCAATCGTCAAACTGAAATAGTTTAAAGCCTAGATCGCCGGTCTGTGGCCGACAAAGACAAACCAGGCAGAAGTGAGCTTTTTAGTCAACCTACTGTAAGTAATCTAATCCACACAAAGTCATGATCGAAATTGGAATCGGTCTGGCTTTTTAAATCTAATGAGTGGATTTGATTCTGAGGGAGCCTTTTAGTAACGAAGGCTGCTTATTTAGTTCAGTATATTTAAGAGAGACAGACAGAATTTTTGCTAAATTCGGAGGTTGCCGGCTATCGAACAAACTCTCTACGCTATTCAGTGTAACAGAATTAATTTGTATGCGTTGTTGTGTTATAAGTGATCACCAAGAAAAGTTAAGATGAGGAAACTCAGGCGAGGGCAAGAAACAAGGAATAATTTAAGTTTAAAAATGATATTTTGCTGATATCTGAAGGTATTTGTCCCAAAACACAGTAAAACACACTTTGACCACATTTTGTTTTATCGCATCAAAGATTTGGGACGGTAACCAAAAAGACATATATTTCATCGCGCATATGAAGGTAAAAAACCATATTAAGCATAAAGCATGTGGCCTATGTGCAAAAAACAAGTTGTGATAATGCGTTTATAATAAGAAACGTAACAAGCAGAAGATTAACAATTTTCGCAAAATATTAGTATATATTCGGCCAGTCATTTTTGCATTTACAATCTTAGAACGGGGCCTAAAAGTAACTATATATGGTAAAAAATAGTCCAATATAAAGAAAAATGCGAGTTCTTTCATTTTCTGCCTAAATCACATCACTTAATTTCAGATAAATTTAAAAATCTGGTCAAAATTCACAACCTTAACTTTGACTTGTCAACCGGATATCTAATTAAAGTGATTTTTTGAAGAAGTAGTCTACTATACATATAACAATAGCAAAGCCTGTTGTTGACCTTTATTTTGCTCGAAAATCTGTTTTGCGGTCTCGAGGAATTTATAAATATGGCCCACTTTGCAATCTTCATAAGAGCTAATATTAAAAAACTCAAGTTTTTAGTAACTGCTTTTAAGAAATATCTTATTTTAAAGGTTTTGATATACAGGTCGATCAGAATCTACACTTATAGAAGAACGCTTAAAACTACTAAAAATCGTGCAATATTTGCTGGAATTTAAAGGACGATTTGAAGTTAATTGTAGTTCAGTACGTGAAATATGTACAAAAAAATTTACAAAAGGAAAGATCTTTTAATATAAAGAAAACGGAACGGTTAGGATTTTAGCTAACGAGTACATTTACACTTATTAGTCTAATTAACAGCTATTTCTCACGTCTGCGGAAATTGAGGACTATTTAAAAAGTTGATTTCTCTAACAGAACAATTAGCACTTTTTATATTTATTTCAAGGTACAAATTTGCCTAAGGGGCTCACACTTATTTTAAAGTTATCGTACCAGCCTTCGTTTCGGTTTGTGAGTGGTTATCAATCTTCCTCAAATTTCGGCATTTTGCATGAGTTTCAGTCCGCAATGAGCCAACGAGCTCCACCTGAGCCTTCTCGTTTAAAATGGCCGAGCAAGACGTATGGGGGAGGCTTAGGGGATGCAACAAGGCTTACCTGCATGGCCCAATTGTAGAGCTCGGGGATCTGACAGCGTTCTGGGTAGTCGAGCATAAAGTCCAACAGGCTGCCCAGTTCGGCGAGCTCCAGAATCATCATCAGGCGTTTATTCTCGCAGACCCCATAGATGGTGATAATGTTCTCGTGCGAGAGTCGCATCATAATACTGGCCTCCTTGAGGAAGTCCAGCCGCTGACAGGGTTGGACGAGCACCTGCAGAAAGGAGGACGTTGAGAGGAAATCAGGGAGGGGACGGCAGAGGAGGGAAGGGGGGAGGCATGAGGCACTTTTATCTGTGAATACGTGTTTCGGGCAGACTAGCGTCCCCTGAAAG